CCCGTCTCTACTAAAAATATAAAATTTAACTGGGCATGGTGGTACCCATGCTACTTGGGAGTAGTCCCAGCTACTTGGGAGGCTGAGGCTGGAGAATCGCTTGAAGCCAGGAGGCACGGGTTGCAGTGAGCCGAGGTTGCACCACTGCACTCCAGCCTGGGTGACAGAGTGAGACTACATCTGAAAAAAAAAAGTCCTGCATGTCCTATTGAGACACTAGTTTTCAGCCTGTGCTGGTGGATGGTTCTCCACCAGGGGCCCTGGAGGACGGAGATGATTCCCTCCCCCTGAAGCCAGGTGAAGAGGGGAAGGTGACTCCCTCCTCCCTGCCCAGCTGAGGGCTTCCTGTCCCCTGCAGGCAGTGGCTGGCCTACAGCCGCCTCTACCAGAGCCTGGAGTTCCCCAGCAGCTGCCTCCTGCACCCTATCACCAGCATCGAGTACCAGTGGATCCAGGGTCGGCTCAAGGCAGAACAGGTAGGCATGCAGTGGGCAAGGGGTACTGGGCACACAGGGCTCAGGGAAGGGGCAGGGGAGCAGCAGAGGCTGTCCAGGCTCCTAAAGCATCTCCTGGCTCTGCAGCAGGAGGAGCTGGCCGCCTCATTCAGCTCCCTGCTGGCCTACGGCCTCTCCCTCATTCGGAGGTTCCGCTCTGTCTTCCCCCTCTCTGTCTCGGACTCCCCAGCCCGGCTGCAGTCTCTTCTCAGGTCAGTGACTGCTCTCCCCTTCCTCGGTGGGGTCAGGGATGAGGGAGCAGCTAGGGTGCCTGCAGGAGTGGGAGAAGCCTGTTGGAGGAGTGAGTGCTGTGTGGGGCAACAGGCACTTTGGACACAGCTCTTTTCGTCTTGCAGGGTCCTGGTACAGATGTGCAAGATGAAGGCCTTTGGAGAACTGTGCCCCAACACCGCCCCATTGCCCCAGCTGGTGACTGAGGCCCTGCAGGTATGGTACTCGTGCCGAGGATGGGGGAGACCAGTGTCTGGGCCTGGCAATCCCTCCCTGCTCACTGCCTCTTTGTCGACAGACTGGCACCACTGAATGGTTCCACCTGAAGCAGCAGCACCATCAGCCCATGATGCAGGTGAGGTGCTGGGCAAGGGGGAGTGTTGGGGGGCACAGGGGGTGGTGCCTGCCTCTGGCAGCCCTGCCCAGCCCACCTCTGTCTCTGCAGGGCATCCTGGAGGCAGGCAAGGCCTTGCTGGGCCTGGTACAGGATGTCATCGGCGACCTGCACCAGTGCCAGCGCACGTGGGACAAGATCTTCCACAAGTGAGCAGATAACCAGGTCGGGAGGTAGTGGGGCATTGGCTCAGAGCCGGAACCACAGGGACCCTGGTGTACGCCGCTGGGTGACATCTGCTGCCTTTCCTCCAGTACCCTCAAGATCCACCTCTTCTCCATGGCTTTCCGGGAGCTGCAGTGGTTGGTGAGTCCCTCCCCTGTCTCTAGGGCGTGCTCTCTGACAGGGCTGTGGACCCCACCCTCCACACCTTCCCTTTGCAGGTGGCCAAGCGGGTGCAGGACCACACGACGGCTGTGGGTGATGCAGTGTCCCCAGAGATGGGCGAGAGTCTGTTCCAGCTCTACATCAGCCTCAAGGAGCTCTACCAGCTGCGTCCAAGCTCCTCAGAGAGGTGGGCAGCAGGCCAATTGCGGGCGGCCGCAGGGGCACAGGGGAGGGGAGGGTGGACGAGGCCCCAGGGCCCATGGTGGCCCCAGCCTTCCCGACGCTGAGCCCCGGCAATCCCCAGGGATGGAGTCCTGGCCCTGGATAATTTCCACCGCTGGTTCCAGCCGGCCATCCCCTCCTGGCTGCAGAAGACGTACAACGTGGCCCTGGCGCGGGTGCAGCGCGCTGTGCAAATGGATGAGGTGGGGGCGTGGCCAGGGTGGGGGATGGGGCCCCGGTTTGGGGGTGAGGCTTGGGTTCTGCCTGGACCTCCAAAGTGTAGTGAAAGCTGGTAACCCTCTCTGAACGTCCCTTTTGGGTGCACTTGAGGCCAGTTGTGTGCAAAATGCTGCCTCTGGATATCCTTGGGGCTGTGACTTCACTTCGCCTGAGATCCTGCAGCCTGTGTGTCTGGGCGGAGCAGTGCTTGTCTCATGTGAAGCTCCCTGCCCAGCTCTGTGCCTGGTGGTGGTAGCCGCTCTATGGATGAAGGAGGGAGGGGAGGGGGTGGATTTGGCAGTATCCTCAGTCCTCCTTTCTCCCCCCAGCTGGTACCCCTGGGTGAACTGACCAAGCACAGCACATCAGCGGTGGATCTATCCACCTGCTTTGCCCAGATCAGCCACACTGCCCGGCAGCTGGACTGGCCGGACCCAGAGGAGGCCTTCATGATTACTGTCAAGTTTGTGGAGGTGTAGTATCTTCCACGTGTCCTTCCCCCTCTTTCTAGAATACCACCCACCGTTTCTCCCGAGCTCTCACCCAGGCAGTCTCCCAAGGCCTGTGTCCTAAATCCCCCAAGTCGCTGAAATTTCCATGCCCTTCCCACCTGCCCTTCTTGGATGCCCCACCCATGAATCTGTTCCCTCTGTCCAACCCCACCCCAGGACACCTGTCGCCTGGCCCTGGTGTACTGCAGTCTTATAAAGGCCCGGGCCCGCGAACTCTCTTCAGGTCAGAAGGACCAAGGCCAGGCAGCCAACATGGTAAGGCCAGAGCTGAGGCTGGGAGTCTGGCTGGGTGTGGGGACCAGCCCGGACGCAGTTCAGGAAGCTCTGCACCTCTGTCCCAGCTGTGTGTGGTGGTGAATGACATGGAGCAGCTGCGGCTGGTGATCGGCAAGTTGCCCACCCAGCTGGCATGGGAGGCCCTGGAGCAGCGGGTAGGGGCCGTGCTGGAGCAGGGGCAGCTGCAGAACACGCTGCATGCCCAGCTGCAGAGCGCGCTGGCCGGGCTGGGCCATGAGATACGCACTGGCGTCCGAACCCTGGCCGAGCAGGTACCTTGTCCGACCGCACAGTCACCCCATCCCCTCCCGTCCTCAGCCTGCCTGGTTCCAGCAGGACCTGGGCCCGTGTCCAGCCCTGACCCCTTCCTGCGTCTAAACTCAGGCACTAAGGAACTCTCCTATCCCCAGCTCATGCCCTGACCTCCCTCCTTCTTCCGTTTTGTGTCTCCAGTTGGAGGTGGGCATCGCCAAGCACATCCAGAAACTGGTGGGCGTCAGGGAGTCCGTCCTGCCTGAGGATGTAAGTGGCCCTTCTGCCTGCTGGCCTTCACTGACCTGCCAGCTCTGTAGATCTGGGGTCACTGAAGGCCTTGGTGTCAAAGATAAGTCCCCCAGACCAGGCAAGGCATGTTCTCTCCCTGGGCCTCAGTTTCCTCCTGGGATGCTCACAGGAATGGGTTGGGTCACTCCACCGGCTGTCCCAGCACTGACAGTCAATGAGGGGACTGCAGCTGGGGAGGGCTTAGGCTTTGCAGCCCAACAGGCCAGGGTGCACATCCTTCTCAGCTGCCTCCTAGCTTTGCTGTCCTGCTCACACAAGCCAGCTGGCCTGTAAGTGGGGGCATATCATGACGCACACCTTCGACTGCTGGGTAGAAGGATATTCATTCATTCATCAACTATTTATCAGGTGTCCACTTTGTCCTATGCATTGATTTAAGCACTGGGGATAGGTCAGTGAACAATATGACAAAATACCTGCTTTCCTGGAGCTGACATTCTAGTAGTGGAGGTGAGAGAAAAGCTATCCATAACTACAGTGATCATTATAGCTATTAACTCTATGCACAGACGTGTATGCGCATGCACACATGCAGTGTGCTAGATAATGATAAATGCTACAGAGAAAAGACAGAGAAGGGGGTGGGAAGTGTCAGAGGGTTGTATTTTTAGATGGTGACCAGGGAAGGCCGTGACAACTGAGTGAAGACCTACGGGAAGCAGGGGGAGGAGCCATGAGAAGTTCTAGGGGAAGAGCATTTCAGGCAGGCAGAAGGGCAAGGGCAGAGACCCTGAGGCAGGACCACGCCTGGAAGGTTCCAGGGCTGTAGAGGAGGCCAGTGTGGCTGGGACAGGCTAAGCAACGGAGAGGGGAAGGCAGAGAGGTGGGCAGTCCGGCCTCTTACAGACATTACAAACTGCTCTCACAGAAAGGCCCTGTTTCCTTCCCCCAGGTCAGGGGAAGGGGATGGGGGTGGGGCCAACATGAGCTGGAGCCACACCTGCTCGCCTTCTCCCTCCCCAGGCCATTCTGCCCCTGATGAAGTTCCTGGAGGTGGAGCTTTGCTACATGAACACCAACTTGGTACAGGAGAACTTCAGCAGGTCTGTAGCAGCCGCTGCCCTGGGCGTGCTCACCACCTCCCCCTCTCCTCCCACGGCCCCTCCTTCCTGGGCCTCAGCATCCGTTCTGAGGGGTGGAGGTGAATCCCTTTGGTGACCTCCCTTACAGGGTGGTCAGGCTCTGCTAATGCTCGCTGCAGGGACAGGGAGCTTGCCACTTTGCAGGCCTCCCCATTTCCTGCTGCCTAACTCTGAGTGCTTTAAGTTCTTCCTTAGGCTGAGCCAAAATCTGCCTGTCCTTTCTCCTTTAGTCCCAGGCCTGTCTTCAGGGCCTCCCTGACTGCTCCTCTGCCCCCATTAGGTTACAGGTGGTCCGCGCCCACGGTGCACGGAGAACTTCTAGTTAGGAGGTCTTATAGCAGGGACCCAGGATGCCAGGCAACAGGCGGTGGAGTCCAGCACGTGGGCTCTGGACCACCTGGGTTCAGACTCCAGCTTCATCACTGCTTAGCAGCCTTGGGCAAGTTCCTGGTGCAGATGAGAATAGTTCTGGCTTCTGCTGAGGATTAAATGGGTCATGTGAGGTGCTGAGCGTGGTGTCAGTACAAAGGAAGTGGTCAGTGATTATTAGCTGTAGTGATGATGACGATGACAGTGCCCACCTCCCTGTGGAATCTGGGCGCTGAAGAGGCCGCCTGCCCTCCTAGAGTTCTGTTCCACCCCCACAGGTATAGTCAGGGCCCCTTGGAGCCCAGCCGTTTTTATTTCTTAAACCATGTATATATGTTTTTTATCTTTTTGACATGGAGTCTTGCTCTGTCGCCAGGCTGGAGTGCAGTGGCGCCATCTCAGCTCACTGCAACCTCCGCCACCGGGTTCAAGTGATTCCCTGCCTCAGCCTCCCAAGTAGCTGGGACTACAGGCTTGTGCCACCACGCCCAGCTAATTTTGTATTTTTAGTAGTGACGGGGTTTCTCCATGTTGGTCAGGCTGGTCTCGAACTCCTGACTTCATGATCCACCCGCCTTGGCCTCCCAAAGTGCTGGGATTACAGGCGTGAGCCACCACTCCCAGACTGTTTTTAACATTTTATTTATTTTTTTCACCTTTAAGCTCTGTTGGACTTGATCTTAGACCGTATTTTTCACATAAACCAGAGTTAAACATCCACCAAGAGGGAAGTTTTGCTCAGTGCTATCTCAGGAGCCTTTAGAACACCACCAGGCATGGTGGCTCATGCCTGTAATCCCAGCACTTTGGGAAGCCAAAGTGAGTGGATCACTTGAGCCCAGGGGTTCAAGACCAGCGTGGGCAACATGGCAAAACCCGGTCTCTACAAAATTATACCAAAATATATATATATATATTTTTATATTTATATTTATTTGTGTGTATTACACAAAAATTAGCCAGGCATGGTGGAGTCTACCTGTAGTCCCAGCTACCTGGGAGGCTGAGTTGGGAGGATCCCTTGAACGCAGAAGATGGAGAGGATCCCTTGAACACAGAAGGTGGAAGCTGCAGTGAGCCGTGATGGCACTG